AACTGTTTCCAAATGGACTCCTGATCCTTTTATATTTAACATTAGTCCTTTTCTAATGGAATATGGCTTTAAAGACTGGGTATAAAGGAAGGCTGAAAAACTAAAATAGCCTGAGTCCTCATTAGCAGCCGAAATCTGGTCTAATTCCCTTCAGATAGTCAGGTAAAGCCTTGCAGATGGGAAATGCCTCCTCAACCCTGGCTGCGCCAACCCTGTTTGAAATAATAATCTGAATTTATAGGCTGCCCTTGATGCACACGGAGGGGATTCATCAGGTGAGAAGAGGTAGCTACAATGTAGATGCCTACATCTGAGCAGGGGTCTGAGGTCAGAGAAGAGACATAGGTATTTTAGACTGCAACTTGCTGAATTCCAAAGCAGTCATCTAAAATAAGTCAGATGAATTGTTCCTGAAAAGTGCCTATTTCTTTCCAGTGGTTATACAGGGAGGCTGTGCTAATTAGTCCTGACACAGAGCCATCTACAGGTAAACATCTCGGGTTTGGTGTGGTGAGTCCCATCTCAGACATCTGTCCCACCTGCCTTGGGCCTGGACCACCGCCGGCGCACACAGAGCTATGTTCCTTCAGGTTAAAGGAAGCAACGATACACGTGAGCTTTGCACTCTGTGTTTCAGTGCTGGTCCCTTATTTAAGGCCACTTTGTTCTGTAGTAACTGGTAACCTAGCAAAACGCCTGGCCTCAATATTGAAAGTCCTGAGCCCCCACGGCTCCCCTGCTGACTTCAGCCTAGCCAGTATGTATGAACAGATGCCAGACGTGGCTGGACACAGGCATTCCTCTGTGGGAATACTGCCGGGCCATAGATACACACTCTGCCCCACAGTGTATTTGAGTATTGAGGATTTATTGCACATTTTTTTCCATGCCTTTCTGAAAGAAAAGCCTTTCCACGTGAGAGATGTTCTGATTTAGCGTGACGACTTCTGCAGTGAGTTGTCACTGTTTAGCTGGTGGAGCTACCCTGAGAACACATATATTCATTCCTGGGAAAAGATCCACCAGTGAAGTGGATTTTATTTGCTGAGCTTGTTCATATAAATTAACAGCATGACAAACATCCAGAAGAGAAAGAGATCAGACCCATGCTGGTGGCAGCCTAGCTAAGGATTGCTAATCCCACAAGGCCATTGTTTGAGGATGAGAATTCACTGCAAACCCTGTCCAGCTTTGCTTTCCATGAACAAACAGTGTGTCTGTGTTCTGGTCCTCTCTCACCTCAAAGATTTACTCAAAGGGAGTAACTTTACCTTCCTGCTCCTGCCTGTGTGAGCCAGAGCAAAATGCTTCCTTCCCTGACAAAAATATAACAACCTTTATCTGAACCCCTGCTAGCTCTGTTTTCCTCTGACCTCCTTGCTGCCTGGGTCTCCACACTTTACTTAGGTTCCTGCCCTTTGCCATGCAGCTCCTGTTGTGAGGTACGATTTCACTGTCCTCTTCTGGTCTCAAAACACCTCTGTAAAATCAACTAGTCAAGCAATCCCTCCTTCCTTCATCTCCATCCTTCGCTTCTCCCGGACTTTAGCTGTGACTCTCATCTGACTTTGTTTACCTCCACTGTAAACCCTGAGGCAGGGAATGATTTTCAACAACAACCAAGTGACCAGGGCTTTAGAAAGCCACCTGGGGAAGCTAATTCTAAGATGAGAACTAATATCACTCCCATCCTGGTGCCAGACATCCCACTTCCCCTGCAAGACACATGGCACTCCCTCTTGCTTTCATGTATGGCTTTAAAACTATAGAAATGGATATTTAGCAGAGTCTCATAAAATAATATTGCACAAGAAGAGCCACGGGGCAGTTCACAGCTGCCCAAGCAGTTCTGATTGCTTCCTAGATTCCTATGTTGTTCTCGGTGGAAAGCTTCCAGAGAAGCACTAGATGACAACCTGAAGACAGAGAGACTTCAGTTAGCTGGGCAAGTGTACAAGGGCAGACATAATTTCTTCTGAACTAATGTGAAGAACATCCTTATAAAATCCTCCTTCTTTGACACAGTGCTGTGAAATTTTTAGTCTTTGATTATAGAAGAGAGTAAAGACACTGGACATCAATGTTCAACAATGGCAAACCCCAAGGAAATGTGTGTCAAAAGATGAACCTTGAACAGTACTGCAGAGATTTGAATAAAGGAGGAAAATTTCACGCTGCAAAGCTTGTGAAACTTCCTATTTTCAGCACGGTCCTTCCAAGAAACCTTTGCTTAAAAAGGCATGCTTCCTTTAAATGTACTTTTACAGCAATATAAAAACTACGGCATCTTTGGTGGGCATGCTGCCTATCGACATTGCTGCAGGCATGTTAAGGGTAAAAACAATTTGATGGTCACATAAAAGGTGAAAATGGTTCCTCTGTAGCGTCTCCTCTTCACAAACTACCATTTACTGTTCTTGCCTGAAGCTTCATGTCTTCAGTAGTTACCCAGTGTGGTCGAATCGTACATTTATTTCGACTAGAGGGAAAACCCCACATGATTACTAAATCCTGACACAGTAAACATATTTCCCTGTAATGAACATCTGGCACATCCCGTTACTTGTATTACTATCCCCCCAGTTAGGACCTCCAGCACCAACCTAAGCTTTCTCAGCTGCAATGCTTAGGAGAGGTAATGCAAGAAAGGTATCTGCAAAACCAGGCAATCCTTTACCAATGATATAGCAGGTGTCACGGGCACCCAGACCCTTAAAAATTAACACATCTGTCATTAGGTATGGTACAGCATTAGTTATCTCTGCTTTCCACCTCATGGCAGCAGGGGAGAAGGGAGCATTCTGTTTATGGTATGGATGGGTCTGCAAGCCACTGTGCACCCCCAGATTATCAAAATACAACCCTGTCTGTGGGTGGGTCTCTTCGCAACCATTCCTTCAGCCCTTGCTTTAGTTCCCAAGCCAGAACTGAAACCTCTGGTAACAGATACATGGGGCCTTTCCAACTTCAGCCAGCTGGCTGGAGTCGGTTTCTTCTCCAAATGCCTTCTGCCCAGATCAGATTTGGGGATGGACATGGGAATTCTTTAAGTGCTGGGAAACTTTTTCAACTTCTTGCCAACGTCTGACATCCACAGGGGAAGAAAACCGGTAGAAAAGCCATGCTAAGTTAATGCCCATTCCTAACTCTTGAGGCAGCTGGCCTTCCGTCCACTTCAAATTGTAACTCAGTGTGACAATGCTCTCATTACTACCACAAAAAAGCCCATAGTCACTCTGGTTTTCACACACTCACTTTTCAGACACTGAATGCTGACTTTTTCCCTATGAATTTCCCCTATGGATTACGATTCCAGAACAGGAGAGGTCACTCATTTACTAACAACTGTTGTATGGATCCATAGTTCTAAGATGTCTCTTGGCTAAGATCCTGCTAGAATGACTTGTCTCTGCTGTGCTGCCAACTTTCATAAAACAATACAGATGGCAATATTCATGCTCATTGAGTGGTCTTTGAAATGAATATGAGAGTGGCTCGGTACCACCAGCTTTCACACATTTAGCAGTTCCACTCGTAAAATCTGCATTCTGTGGGATCCCTGCCCTAGCACAGACTCCTCAATTTGGCCCCTAGGCAAGATGCTTGATAACAGAGCTGGTATGTTCTTAATGAGTCTTTTTTTTTTTTTTTAAATTTGCCTAAAAGTCTAACATTTTTGCAGAAGAGCACCAATAGTTTTGTGTAGTTCTAAGCACAGGTGGATCTGGATTGTATACACTGGAAATCTTCAGCTCTGGATCTACCCTTGTGGTTTGAAGCACCCAAAATGTAGACTAAGCTTTTCTCTTGGGAGAGACAACAGGCCAGTTCTGGAGTCACGGGGCTTTGCGCAGCCTTGATTTGTCCTAAGATATATCCACCACTAAATATGGGGACATAACAGAACAAAGAGTCTCTTCTCTTGAGAAGCCTGCCTTGTAATTGAAGTTAAATGAATGACAATCACTATGTAGGGGAAAAAAGCTTCACTTGGGAAGAAATTCCAAAGTAGGTCTTCATTTTTTGTGGGTACTATGGAATGAATGAGAGTGATGTCAGATGTAATATAACACTGGAGTGGAAAGGATAACAGAAAAAGACACAGTAACACTGCGCTGGCTAGTTCTAGACATGAGCTATCCATTAAAAGTAAGTCAAAACCCTCAACTTAATTTTGTACATATGCCATCCCAACCCCCGGCCTCTCTCTGGGTGTTTTAAAGCTGCAAGAGCAAATTAGTCTTCTCAGAAGATATCTTCCTTGGAGGCAAAGACGCTGTGTACACAAGAGCACCGGCAGCTGCTAGCGGCTTCCAAACACTAACAGTTCCTTGCAAAATTCCCAGATGAAGAGAAATTCTCCCAAACTGCCATAATCTTCATTAAAACCTTTCTAGTCTGGTCCAGTCCAGCCTATGAATATGTTCTATGCCCATGCAGCAGCCAACTGGTTGCCATAAAATGCCATCATTTGCTATTTGTGGGTAATCCATTATACCATTACGTGGTTGAGTCCAGAAGGCAAATACGACAGAGCTATACCCGGATTCATTTGGTCCCTGACATAACGCACACCCTGGGCACAATCCAGAGGAAACGGATGGCTCGCCGGCGAGGAAGCGAGTGTTTTCCCTCCAGGTGGCTGGCTCAGGTTGGTTATCCTGGCAGAAAGAGGTCTTTGTTCTGCAGCCCGACCCAGCTTGGACTTTCCAGGAGTTGAAAACCCACAAATAAAAATGTAAAGACATAACGTCTGATCTTGCCCTCATACAAGGTTTCTCTGTGGGCAGCTGTGGGCGTTAGTATGGCTACTACTTATTTACGCTTGTGTGAGAAGAATTTTCAAAGCCAAAGACCTCAAAAGAAACCTCTGTAAAAGTGTTTGTTTGTCCACAGGTGTTTCTACAGCATGAGAAACCAACAGCCTCATTTCCTGGCCTCTAGGGAACAGGTTGTCCGTAGCTGTATCCCATGGGAAGGGCTTGCCATCACACACTTACCTGACACAAAAGTACAAAACAACCGGTCCTGACTTTTTGGGGAAGTCATGTTCCAGCACCCGGCGGTCCAGCTGAAGCCAGTTCAAGTGTCCCCTGGCAAAAGAAGAGACAGTTTTGAGCCTGGCACCGAAGAGGTTTCTCGCTACTCATTGCAACGAGGTCTGGGGTGTTACAAAAGATGAACGGAAGCACATGCTATTTGCCCTCGGCTATTGCATGATATTTGAAAAACACACAGTAAATGTTTGAGGAGCGGAGGTGATATCATCCTGGCAACAATTCAGTCTGGGAATCGAACTGCTAAAGTTCAATCTGTCAGGGTGAAAGCTGGCAGCGCCGAGCAGGCAGGATAGCCCCAAATGTTATGAGCTTCACCTTTTTATTACTGCCCCCTGGAGCAGTCGTATCATTAAAAGTCTGTCAAGATTTTCATTAGAAATCCTTGTTGTTAAGAGTTTCCACAATGCCTGCAATATTTCACTCAAGGCTAAACCTGACTCTACAGCCTCAGACAGTTTATTTACCACCCACATGCCTGCAATAGTCTCTCTAGGTTTGCTCAGCCTTCGTTTTTCCTCCTTCAGAGAGCTCCTGAAAAACAGCTGCTCCATGAAGCGTTCCAGCTCCAGTTACCACATGCTGCTTTTCTTTTGCCTAGATGGTACCTGTCGCTATTATTTTCTCCTATAATTTATCCATTCGTGCCTTGCTGCTGGAAGCTTTCCTGGGCAGGAGCTCTGTTCTTTGTCACGTTCCCTACATTGTAGAGCACTGTCTGCACGTGAGAGGTATTTTATAAATACCGTTATTTGTATTACAGGGGCATCTCACTCCCCAGCTGAGACAAAGGCCCCGTTAAATTCGGCACTGTGGAAATACATAGGGTAAAATTCAGCCCCGCTGAAGTCAGTGGGAATTTTGCCATTGCCTTCAGTGATGCTAGGGCTGCATCTTCTGAGCGTTTTGCTATTGATTTCAGTCAGACCAGATTTCACCCAGAGGGAGAGGCAGCCCTGGCCTTCAGCACTCTGCTGTCTAGACAAGCAAGGCGAGACAGAATTGAAGTGATTTTGGGGAGAATCTTGCAGCAAATAAAGCGGGAAAGGGAACTCAGATGTCCTGAGCTGTATTCCAGTGCCTATTCACCAGCTCGTGCTAATCCTCAAGAATAATTCTTCATTCTACTGAAAATGAAAAAAAAAAAAAGGCAAAAAAAAAATCTTGGTTTAAAAAAAAAGCATTAAACTAACTTCCAGGGTTGCCACAAGCCTTAGCAATGTACCCTGTCAGCAAACACATTCAGCTTTCATAAGGGTCTGCCCGTTACTGCTTAGCAGCGCCTGTGCTTTGGGCAACTGAGAAACCCCTTTGGAAAGTAAGCAACACCACCTATTTAGCAATTTAACCCGATTTGTAGCTCCCGCACTCCATCTTTTCTAGAAAAATAAATAAAGGGGGAAGTAGCAGTTTCAGGAAGCTTTGAATCACCTGGGTTCAATTTGAATCTCTGTACAGCTGCCCTGGCTTACGTAGATGCAGAAGAGGATGGGCAGCTCAGGGACCTTCAAGCCCAGGCAGCTCCGGGCTGCCCTGGAGACCAGCCGGGACATCGTGCGTGCTCACCTCAGCGCAGCACGCTGCTTTGCGCTGTCTAAAGGGTTAAAAATTACTTGTGAGCTCCACTCGTCACACCAATGGGTTCAAGATCAGATATTTATAAAGAAGCTATCTCACCTCAAATTTTGCCACGTAGAAGTCAGGCGTTCAGTTTAAGCAGCCTTTGCATCTATTTTGCAAGAGTACCAAGTCCCAACTAGGTACAAGAGATACATGTGGAGTTGGGGACTTTTCAGATGCATCCTGGACATCTTTTGGTGTGCAAAAAGGATCAAGCCCTTTTTTATCCCCTGCTCTAGACACCTGTGTGTTTCTCTCCAAGATATTTTAAATCTTAGTCAGTTCTTTCTCTAGATAAAGTTTTTAAATAAGTTTTTTCTCTATTGTTTTTCTCTAGGTAAAGGGCAGTCTGAACTGTGTATTCGGGGCACAGACTTACTAGCAGCGTGGCTACTGGAAAGGGGTGACAGAATGCAGATTTTCAAGCCAACTAGTCATTTCATATGTCTCTATTGCAGCACATGGACTGAGAACAAGTCTGCCCAGCCTGGGACAGTGCTGTGCAGTGATACTGCCTGGGATCAGTGGTGAGGATGGCCATGGTAACGGGACGGGGTGTATGGGCTAACTGGTCTTGTTCTGGGCACACAGCACGATGGGGTCTCTTTCTGTCATTTCTGCTGCAGGGATGCAGTCGCCCAGCGCTAGTGTGGGATCCCTGCATCGTGCCCTGTTGTTCAGCACAGGTACCTACTTTAACAAGGCTTGGTTTTTAGAAGACAGATGCTCCAGGATGTCAGAAAATAAGCCCCATGGCAAGATTCTCAGCCCGGGCACCCAAAAATTAGAGGTGTCCACATTTCCTGCTGCATCCCTCTTCTTGAAATCTGTCCTTTTTCCTATTTTTTTTGTCCCAAAGTGCTGTTATGTTTCTTTTAACAGGACTCAGGAAAGCTGAAATTAACTGCGAGGGCCACAGTATGCATGGGGATTGAAACTAGACAGGATTACCCATTCCTAGCCGAAGTACAAAACGAGCATTTAACCATGTAGGCCAAGGAACAAAACACTGTCAGAGCAAGGAAAAGCCACGCTAAGCCTGACATCCTATCCTGAACCTGTCCAGCTGCATTTGTATCACCAAAGTAGCGGCCACCAGCAGCTGATGGCATTACACACCGGTTCCCACCAAGACCGATTTGCTGACAATGGACTTACTGTCTACCTCTGTGTTTATTCAACAGAAATGTCTGGGTTTGCCTAACAAGTACAACGAAGGGTTGAGAAACCATGGTGCACAGAACAATAATTCACTTCAAGGTATTTCTTGTTTTGAAAAGACTTACTCTTTTCATTCTCACTGCATTTTAACTTGAGAAACTGGTCGATATAATCAGTACAAAAAGAATATATGCATATGCGTATGCATACCGGGTTACACATTCATGTTGCACACGTGCACGGTTGTGCGTACTGAATAATACATTCAATTGCCACCAAGTTTTTGGGTTGAAGAGTTTCGTTACTCTCATCTGCATGGAGCTTAAATCCAAAGTTCCTTCAGAGGAGGAAGGTCACTTAAATCACTGCCAGGAGCTAACTGCTCACTGTACTCAATTACCACTTACAATCTTTCATCGCTGAGGGCTTCTGCACTGCAGATTGTCACCTAACTCCTTGTTTTCAAGCGTGCATGTGTGGCATGTAGAGAACAGCAGCAGTGAGCAGTCACCGGCGTCCCCCTGTGAATGTGGTCTATTGGGGAGCCAAACTCCAATGCCGTTACACCACAAAGGCTTTGCTCTGGAATGTGTCGTCCTGTCTTCAGCAGAACTATTCATGGAGCACAATCCCATGTAAGAGAGAGAAAAGTATGGGCATATAACCCTAGGCATGTAGTAATCCTGACAGTTTTCATGGCAGCTTGCTCTGGGATCCCATTCATACACGCTTATGTCTAGCTGGATTTCTTTCACGGTTCAATTTAGAGACACAAAGTACCTTTTGTTTCATTATCGCCATTGATTTGTTCATTTGGGTATTTATATCAGTGTATTCACAAATAATGCTGCAAACAGTTTTGGGTGGCCTATAGGGAGGTTGAATATTGGAAGCCAGATCATTTTTCTCTGTTGGTTGTACTCATGTTGGCAGTTAAACTGGTGCGTCAATAACAAATACATAATAGCTCTTAGAAAAACAAACTGGGTCCATTTATGTTACAGGCTGAGTATGGATTTTGGTGCCCAGGGTTCATATTGTCGATTGCATGCAGTAGTTCTGTTTTCTTTTATCAAGGCTCTCAGTAAAGAGTGGTACATCAATGAATACTTTGCCTCCAGGTAGGTCTGTTTATACAGTTTAACTGGTTAGTGTCCAGTTTTCTGTAAAGTGGATCCACACTGATTTGTGTTATAAAGGTATTCAGACCAATAAACCAATTCACGCCCCTTCAGTGTCAAACTCATGTTGAATTGAATGGACATCGAGAAAGACCAATTCACATAATAGAAACCATATAGACTATTCTACATTTCCATCAATCATGACAGAAACAAAAAAACCTTTAAGCTCACAGATTTTCTCATTTAAGGTCTTTTAATCCTTCAACAGAAATACTTTTGAAGGGGCTGCAAAGCTCAAGGTGCTATATGAGTTTAACTATACAGATTTTGCAAAACGGTGGACTTGGTGACAAAAGAACTGGTCTAACACCAGAGCAGGACATTATTCTGAGAGCTGCACCCTCTATTGGACTGGCTGTTCAACCAGGACATGGGACACCTGGTCCCTCATTTTGGCTCTGCCACATGGCTGCAGGGTGGAAACAGGCTTCCTCCCAGTTCCCAGAGATGAGAGAGTATTCCCGGGAAGAGTGGTACCCTGCTCTTCCTTTGCCACCCCCTTGGCCATAGGGTCCTGGGCTGAGCAAGGGCACTCTCTGTCATTACCTCATCACGTTGGTGCAGTCTCTAGCGCAAGTGTAACACAAATAATGGGGGCCTCAATGCCTTGCAGTTTTTATCCTATGTATTACCTAGCTGAAGAAGCTGCTCTGCGGGTTCTCCTCTGGCAAGGGAGCAAAAGGGTTTGGATCAGCTTTTGGGGATGCAAAAGTTGGTAGTTCTCCATGGAGCAGGTGAATCACATCTAAGGACAAGTAAATGACGTGGAAAACCTGCCCGTGGCCCAGACGGGGCATCTGCTGCAAACAGAAGGGTAATCCTGACCACTTGCTCTCAGTGAATGCTGGAAGAGCTGATGCCAAGGGAAAGGGTGGTTAGCGGAGATTCATAATCAGCTGACCTAAAAAAAATAAAAAGCCCTTTCGCCATTCCTTTTCACTCTGAATAAACCAGCATACAGCTCTTCTGGCTTCATGTGAAGCTTGGCCCCACGTGCTGTACAGGGACACCCTTTTGACCTGTGCTCTCCTGCAGTTAATGGCTCACACCATAAAGCATTCCTATGATCATTAAAATAGGAGGCGTTATTCTCTCCTCCATAATAGTCTGACAATCTAATTTTAGTCACGCTGAATGCAGTAATGACCCTATATTATCACAAGAAACTATTAAGTCGCCAACGCAAAGGTTGTTCCTATTGATTTTCTTCTTAGGTTGTCATGATAGAGCACAACTAATGAATGGAAATCCCCAGTCCAAATCATTTCTAAATAAATTACTCTCATAGAGCTTTTACTCTTAAATAGAAGAATTGATTTAATACTTTAGTGGCTTTTCTTCTTTCTAAACTTGCAATTTAGCCAACCCCAGACTACATTTATGAACCAGGCTTGTTCTGTTTTAGCTGGTTATGAGTTCTCTTCAAGTAAGGCACATGGAAACTCAGCAAAGAGTGAAGAGAAGGAAATCCCTGAGGGCCTGCATCACAGAATTAAAGGGTTTCTTTTTGTGTGCCTGGTCTGTATCAGCTATAGGGCTGTGTTAGGTGCTGTGCAAACACACATTAAGAGACTATTTTTCCTACTTTTTGAAGAAAGGTTTTTTTTTTAAACTTCCATTTCACGTTGCAGGTTAACATCTGTGATACAGACAGCCCAGTTTATTTTCTGAAGGTGACATAGGACATCTATTTCCAAGACCGAGTCCAACCCCCCAAGTATATTTTTTTGGCTGTGTTCAGTCAAATAAAACAATTGCTGTTTGTACCAACTCTATTCAAAGATTTTTACATCTTAAGAGGAAATATTTTTGTCAAGGTTGTTTTCACAGCACCGAAGAAGCCTCAGTGCAAAGGTCAGACCCACGGTGGGGCAGCAGAAGGGCTGCAGACCAAGCTTCATATCAGCTAGGACTTACTGGCATATTTCTGGATTGCGTTTACCAGATTTAATGAGGGTGTCCCCAAATCTTTCATCTGGGCTGGGTGAGCATCTCCTAAAATGCACCCTGCTCCACCTTGACTGCAGGTCAAGAAGGTGACCGAGTGGATGCCATCACCTCACTCTTTGAAATCCCGTCCAGCCCGTGTGCATCCATCTGCATCCGCTGCGCATCTTTGAGCGCTGCCTCGACAGCCTCTGCCAGCCTCTCGCGCGTCCTCCCATCACTAACCCAGATCTTTCCTCACGCCGCTCCGTGCTAAACCTGGAAGCCCCAGGGAAGGCTGGGCTCTCTCTAATTGCTGACACCTCCTCATTAGCTTCCCTTGCACTCCCAGGGGAGCCCTTTGCCCACACAGCTGAGCTGAGAGCTGGGACTTGCTCAGCTACTATCTGGTTGCAGTCTGACATGTGTTTCTTGTTTTTAACCTGCGCTGTTAGGACGGTTAAGGGAACATTTTAATCTCTCAGTCTGCTTTGGCTTCCCTGCATGGCTTTCCTGCACCCCTCAGGGAGCACCCACTGAGTAACTTGCTCTCTCCAACAAGTAATATTGGTGAGGAGCAATTTCCTCCTCCTTCTTTATAAAATGCCAGTGCTACCTGCTGTTCCTCCTTTAAGGACCAGTGTCATTAATCTGTGTTGGGTTGGAGATCTCTTATAGTGCTGAGCTGCTCATGTCAGTGAGATGGGATGGACTCTGGGATCTCTTCTGATTCGGGTCCTGCTTCTGCACGTGCCTGATGCCGAGCCTTCATCCATCCTGGGAGCTGTGTCTTGAGATGGCCTCAGGCTGCCCAAGGCAGGCGCTTGCCAAAGGAACTGGCTCTAGAGGGGTGATTGCTGCTGAGATGAATGTGGTTATGTTTGTGCAATTACCCAGCAGCCTCTGATTACCCGATCCTGAATCATTATTCCAGCAGATAATTTA